GTTTAGCTCAAATAACCCCAGAACTACTGCGCAAGGTATTCGCTGCGAGGAGCACTTGAGTTTCATTCTATCCTGGAATCTGATTGGCCAAGGAGAAACAAAAGGCATTACATCACAGAATATCGTTTCCTGGCTCAGGTTCGCAGACGTTATTATTCGGCAGAACCAAGTGACAGCCGGAAATACGTCTGCGTTCGCAGGCTAGGTCAAGTTCAGTGTTCTTTAATAGCCAAATTTTAAATTTGTTAAGGCTTCCGACTTTCTAAGGTCTTCACTCAGCTTTGCCCACGGTTTAGGCCCTAGATAGTTTAGGCTGTGGTTGCCATGAGTTACCGTGTTGAAAAAGGTAAAGTCAGTGTTTCTCAGAGCATAGCGGCTTATATTTTTGTTTAGCTATGTAGGAAGGAGAGACAATGTTTTTGACTTTATGCATAATTATGGCGATTTCCTTAAGTCAACGGTTGTGTTGGGTAGATAGTTTGGTCATTTACAAATAGTTCCTCATGTAGCGCTCCTGCTGCAATAAACTGCACGCATAGGTAGATCTCAAATTTGGCTTTTGTCCAGACTATCCCAGAGAATTTTGAAAATGCAACAACAACCAAAAAGTCTGGATTTGTGTTAGAGTAAGACTCCGGCAAGAAACTCGCATTATGGTGATGTCATAGTTTTTGAAAAGCTTCGTTTTCAAAATTTTTTCTGTCCAGACTAGAGAAAAAAGCTGGCATTTTCAAATTCCTCTGGTTGGAAGAATGTTTGTGAAAAGCTCCGTTTTCGTGGCCAATGAAATTACTCACTTTCTTGCTATATCTCACTTACTTATAATATCATAATTATGCTAACATTTCTTTGTGAAAGTAACATAACTAAATATTACTGTGAAATTCAGAAAACTGTCAACACCAGAAATGTTGTTGGAAAAAGCCAATTAGGTGCGAGAACACTGCAAGCAGAAATGGTAACTAAGTTTGTGGTTTCTGAGGTTTCCTCGCATGTCATGAATTTTATTGTGATTGATCAGTACATAATTGACTTGTCAGAATCAAATCAAAGTGTTCACGCCTTCACGGCTGTCTGAAATATGAAACAGGCTTTTTATCCATATTTCTATATAGGAAATGAGTGTCGATATTTATTTGTGATCTAGATTTGTCCTATTTAATTCTTTTAATCACAATTAGGACTTCACGCAGACTTCCGTTTCCAAATTCTGTGATTGGCTGAAAAATTTGGAAGAACAATTTCAGGGCTTCAAGTTGCCTCCTTCGAAAATATAGGGCTTAATATAGGGGCTTTTTTACAAAAATACAGGGATAATATAGGGGAATTTTAGAAAATATAGGGGGAATATAGAGATTTTTAAAAAGTATTTTCAACACTTGCCCTATCTGTCTGCATTTTCTACACTCAACAAAACAGAATATTAAACAGCTGATACACTAAAGGATAGTGTTATTCAGAATGCAATAGCCTCCTCTGTTCCAACACCAGAGAGCACGCTGTTGGAAATAATCTCAAACTTTACATTCTTAACACATTCAGTCTTAAATTCATCCAAGCAAACGTTCTTGATCACATCAATCATTTCTTGTAATCTCAACAATGCTACTGAACTCATGCATTACCACCATGCTCTCAAAGTATTCATGGGTACAACATTACTACACTTTAAATGTACATCATATAAATGTCCTCCACACTTAGTCTTTCCTCTTTTTGGTAGATAGATGCTTGGAGTAGTCTTCAAGGAGTCTCTTTGTTTTTGTCAAGCTCAACTCTCTTGTTTGAACACTCTTTGGTTTGCTCCACTGCATATTCCAACTTTTGCTTGGCAACTTTAAGTAGCCCTTGAGCTATTGCAGCCTTGTTGAAGTTTTTGTCCTTAATTGCCTGTGAAAGTCGTTCATTTGCTTCTTTATAGAGTGTTTTAGCAATGTGTAGCTCACTGTCTTTCTGTTTTTCAGCCTTCGTCAATTCTTTCTCTCTGTCAGACAAATTTAGTCTTCCTTTTTCCAACTTCTCTACTTCTTTTTCTTTCTGTTTCTCAATTTCCCTGTGCATCTCTTTCTCTGATTCTTCCATTCTCCGTTTTTTGCCAGCTCTTCCCTCTCATCAGCAAGCCTCTTTGCATGTGCCTTGTGTGCATCTCTCGATGCTTCAAGCAACCCTTTTGTGATCTTAACATTTTGTGGCTCTCCAGACACCTTGACATGATCTTTCACAGTACGCAAACCATTTATTGTCAACTCACCAAGAGAAGTTCTGTCAGGAGTAACTGTCTTCTTGTTTGCAGAACGACTTCGTTCTACATCCGCATTGCCATGAGCTAAACAGAGAAGGCCTTTCACAAGCTTCTGAAGAACGGAATGCTTGCATTCTCCCTGCAGAGATTTCTCCTGGAACACATCTGCCCAGTAATGGTCAACTCTTCTTGTGGCACTCTCCTCGTCGACTTGCCCAGCCTGGTACACTTTCCACTCATCTGTAACCAAAGCAACTTCTTCTTCTGATAGTGTTGGCATCATAACTGCCAGTCTACGTATAGCTTGTGCTCCATGCTTGCTATCCCTAAGAACTGGATGTAGGAAAGAGACATCTCTCAAAAGCTTGTTGTCTAATGTTAGATGGCCAATCAGATACTTTGTGGTGTCCACATAGAACTGTTTTYWTTCCTAGAAGAGCTTTCTTCTGTTGGTCATCAGACAGCTTGGACAGAGCTGATCGAGTTTTCTCTCCTACTTCCATCTGTGACATGGAAAGTTGGTTATCTGGTTTGGAATAGTCTATTGCCAGCAGGTGCTTCCCCTCTTTGTCTGCCAGGACTTAGGTCTTGAGAAAGCGACCCATTAGGGACTTCAGTAGTTCACACATTGTATGACGCAGTAGGTGAATCAGTGGCCGTTCACTCTGGAAGCATAGAAACTTCTTAAAGATTGGCTCCACAGACACAAGAAAAGCTTACTGCACTAGGAAGGACTTGTCCTTTAGTTTTCTACTTATGCGATTGTACCGGTCATTCTTCGCCAAGGTCTTTGAAGGCTTCCGTGGCTTGGGCAATTCTTCCAGGAAGTATTTCTTGATCGCTTACCATTTCTTGACAATTCTGTCTAATGCAGGAATAAGTGTGAGCCACCTACATTGTACATGCTGGATAAATAACACTTCATCAAGGCCAAGATCACTCAATACATGGATGTAATCTTCTCTTCGAGAGGGTGAGCTCTTTAACCAATAGAAAAGATCTATTGCCAGTTCCTCAGAGGCATCTCCATAAGCATTAACACCTGCACGGAAGCATTGTGCACAACATGAATGCTGCAAGGGATAAATGGCAATATACCAGGGAGTCCTTCATCTAACAGTGCTTTATTTACTGTACTCCAAATTGTTTTGTTGACATTTGGTCCATCTGATGACAAACTTATTATGCCTGAGAGAGGCAACTGGCAGCCTGTTTCCTGAAGGATCTCCACAATTTTTGTTGCAACATCATGTCCTTTGGCATGCCCAAAGAAGTGTCTGCAAGAACCTAACACTGACCTCGTTTTTTTCTTCTGACCAGTAGCGCACTAGTATGTCACACTGCTTGTGGCCTTGGGCATTCCCTGTTTCATCATACTGAATGGTGTATCTAAAACCTGATTGTGAAATATCTTGGCACAGTTTTTCTTAAGTATGGGCCTAATCAATCTGATATCATGTAAGACACTTTTGTTCCACTCATTGTAAAGTTATTAGACACATCTCCTGGGAACATCTTTTGGAACAACTGTGGTATACCATCTGATGATGCAAATGCATAGTCGCTTGCAGCAGTTTTCATAGCCCACAGAGCTTCAGCTCTAGCTACCTTCTTTTGCTGTGACAAATCTTGAATGGGTATACTGAGAGGTCCCTGGTCTTTTCCTTTATTCTCACTACTGGTTGTGGAAAGAACAAAATGTCTTTGAGCTTGAGAAAACTTGGCAGCAGACTATTTCCTGTGCTTTTCACTTTTGGCATGTTGCTGTATTTGGGTCAATCCAGAATTATCAATCGCAAAATCTTTAATGCATAAGGTACAGAAGGCCTTGTGTTTCGAAGTCTTGCACGAAGTACACCAGTCATCTATTCTGTGACCATCTACATCTGTCTGATCCAGCCAGCTAGCTTGAAACTTAGTTGAACCATGTGGCATTATGCTCTGATGTCACACTTCTATACTGCATAAATATTTTACCTGCAGACAGGAAAACACATAATATTTTGTCACACTTTTTTATGCAATGCTGTAAAGCACTAATAATAAGAGGTAGACTGGTTCAATTAAAATTATGCATTGGTAAGATAACATTTTTCAAGGTTGGTGACATGTATGAAATAAACTTAATTGTAGATTTTTCCTATTTAAAAGCCCTACTATTGTGCACACAAAAGTACAAAAGAGCACCAACATGAACTGGTCCCTCAGTTATTCTTCATTGGGACAAGACTTTGAACTCTGAATAGTGATGACAATCCAAAAGTGCTTATAGTGCCAATAGAGGTTGTTAAAAATTCATGTCTGTAATTTTGAAACAACTAAATGAACAAATGACAAATGACGAGCCATTACTCAGCAGTTACACTAATTGTACTTACCAGTTTGTTATTTACTTGACCCAGGAAATTACTGTCCCTGTTACATCCACCAGCACAAAGTTGATCACAACCTTAGCAACATTTTTGGGGGGTTTATTCTAAATAATTTTAAATTTTAAAAATAATAGAATTATAGGGATTATAGGACATTTGTAAACTATATAGGGAAATATAGGAGGACTGAGAAAATATAGCAAATATAGGAAATATAGGGACGCTTGAAGCCCTGCAATTTGTTGTGATCCAATTGGCTGAGACGTGGGTAGAAAGCCAACGGTTGCACTGAAAAGACTGACTTTAAAAAGCTTCCTTTAACAATGGACGAGTACGTTTGATTGCCGAAGACTTTGTTCCCAGAATTTATTGTTCTTTTGAGACAGGTTGAGTCCACAGCGCCTATGTTTTTGGACGATTCCCAGGAGCTTACTGGAAAAGTTTGTGGCACAATTTGCAAAATTAAAACTCAAGTGTGCTCATCAGAATGTGAGATTCCAGGTATGTTTAAATAGCCATTGAATGTTCTGCTTGACTTCCCTCCAGAGTACCTTTTTAATTAGGGACCAGATGTCTAATTTATCCCCAGTTGAAAAGTTTTACTAATTCCTTTTTCCAGATTCTCCAATCACTGACCAGCCATCCAGCCCACCAGGTAAGTTTCATTAATGCAGTCTCTAGGTTATGTATACTAATGATTGTCCATACAGATTAAAAAATTTTTTATTCATGTCATATTTAGATACAGATATGCTACCAGCTAGGCAAGTACCCTCTAGGGAGGTACCAGTGTCATCTGTAATTAACAAGACACAAGAGACCGACACAACAGGTTGGTATGAAAAGGGAATTTAGCTCATACTGTCACAGTTGAATAATGTCAGGGGCAGATCTAGGGAAAGGGTGCAGGGAGTGTGCATCCCCTGTGATGAAGCCTTCTCTGTATTTGCTTTTAAAATTTGATTACCTCACCAGTCAGTTATGCCATTCCTTAGTGGTGCACCCCTCCTACGAAAAATCCGGGATCTGCCCCTGAATTTATCCTCAATTTAAAAATTTTCCATTCCTCTTCCCAGGAACCCAAACCAATGACCAGCCCAACAACCCAACAGGTAAGTTTAGATGCAGCTCTGAGTTTTCTCAAAAACAAATGTATGCTAATGCTTGCCCATTGTGATAAGTTAAATTCATGTCACTTTTTGACACATAGTTCCCAAGACAGCTCTGTGTGAGAACAAGCAAAAGGGGGCCTGGGGGTAAAACATTTTTTCTTCATTCACTTCAGTTAATTCAGATACTCTGAGCTCTTAGAATACCATGTAACTCAAT